ACCCAAATTGAATTACTTCCAATGGAAATTAAACAAATGTTGGTCCAAAATGTGATTTCCCTATATAAACTATAGTAAAGTTTACCCCCTCCCTAGGGGGAAACGTGAGACCCCAGGGTCAAGAAATTCACAATTTCGGTAAAGCACCTTAAGACCCTTCCATCTATGAAGATTATTTGATTCTACCATATCTGGGTCTTGAGAAGAAGATTTTTTAAAATTTCAATAAATTCGACCCTTTTTGGCCCCACCCATCAGCCCCTGGGGGTCAGTCAGGGCTGATATGTGCTTATTATCAAACTGCTTCCTAATACTGATAATGCTAACCCAAATTGAATTACTTCCAATGGAAATTAAACAAATGTTGGTCCAAAATGTGATTTCCCTCTATAAACTATAGTAAAGTTTATCACCTCCCCAGGGGGAAACTTGAGACCCCAGGGTCATGAAATTCATAATTACGGTAAAGCACCTTAAGACCCTTCCTATATAAAAAGTATTTGATTCTACCATATCTGGATCTTGAGGAGAAGATTTTTGAAATTTTAGTCAATTTGACCCTTTTTGGCCCCGCCCCTCAGGCTCCTGGGGGCTTGGGACTAAACCGGCCATTCTTTTTGTTGACCTTTGTCCATTGAAGGTCCCTGCAAAATTTCATTGAAATTGGTTCAGGGGTTTTGGAGCAGAAGTCGAAAATGTAAATTGTTTACGGACGCACGACGGACGACGGACGACGAACGACGACGGACAAAAGGCGATCGCAATAGGTCACTTGAGACTTTGTCTCAGGTGACCTAAAAAGCCTGGAATGGACAAGGAGGAGTTGAAAAACTACCGCCCAGTTTTAAATCTGACTTTTCTGTCTAAGATCTTTGAGAATGTTGTATCCCGGCGTTTAGAGGTTCTCCATGCAAACAGTCTCCATGACAACATGCAATCGGCCTACCGCATGGGACACGCTACTGAGACGGCCCTCCTACGTGTACATAGTGATATAGCTTCTGCATTGGATAACAAGTGCAGAGCTGTGCTTGTCATGCTAGACATGTCAGCTACATTTGACGTCATCGACCATGGCATACTTTATAAACGTCTGGAATACTCTTATGGAGTGACTGATACCGCACTATGCTGGATACAGTCATGGCTGAGTGAACGACGACAGTGTGTTACCATCGGATCTGCCACCTCACATGACAAAGTACTAGATTTCGGGGTTCCTCAAGGGTCGGTGTTAGGACCACGAAAATATTGTATGTACTCCAAACCGATTGGAGAGATTTGTCTTCGTCATAGCCTTCGCTAAAATTGCTATGCTGATGACACACACATTTACATGGTCATAAAACCACAGGACAGTTGAAATACAGTCTCAGAAAGTCTGGAAGCTTGTCTGACAGATATCAGTATCTGGATGAACGCCAACATGCTTAAACTTAATCAGGAAAAGACGGAACTAATCGTCTTATCCCCAAAGTGTCAGCAAACAATGACTCTCCAGGTCAAGGTTGGTGCCAGAACTATTGAGACTGGAACAGCTGGAACAGCTGTTAAAAACCTAGGGGTATACTTTGACAGTTCTCTGAACATGGAGAAACAAGTGAACGCTATTGCCAAATCCTGTTTCTACCAGATCAGGAACATCGGCTGTATTCGGCAGTTTCTAACAGCAGATGCATTCAATATTTTGGTGCATTCACTTGTTACCTCTCGGTTGGATTATGGTAACGCCCTGCTCTGTGGTATATCTGACAAACTAACTAGTCGTCTACAGAGGGTTCAGAACACTGCAGCACGGCTAGTTACTCGTACTCGAAAGAGAGAGCACATCACACCTGCGCTTTATTCGTTCCACTGGTTACCTGTACGATACAGTTCGCAGTACAAAATTCTGGTATACACATACAAGGCACTAATTGAACAGCTCCTCAGTACCTTCAGGAACTTGTTACCCTGTATCAGCCGTCAAGATCACTGCGGTCGGAGTCAGAATCTTTGTTGTGTGTCCCAAAATCTCGTACTGTGACCTTCGGAAACAGATGCTTTAGGAGGGTTTCGGCTACGTTGTGGAATAGCTTACCATCTGCTATTAGGAAGTCGAATACCCTGGCCAAGTTCAAGAGGGACATAAAAACTCACCTCTTCACGTCTGCATTTTAGAATCTTTGCAAAGACGTCATGTAAATACCACCCTTTTATTTGTTCAATTATGTGCACATTGCTTGTTATATGTATGAAAGTGATTGCAAGCCTTTGTTGTTTGTTTTCACAATTATAACCATTACTATTATCCATATGTTGTAAAGCGCCTTAGAGTAATTTTACAAATTATATAGGGCGCTATATAAATGCTGTATATTATTATTATTATTATGTTGGTCAGACATACAAATCTCAATCAATCAATAGCAATATATAATATAACAGTCTACCCCCTCGGGAACCTCAAAGGTGACCGATTCATATTCGGACATCTTCAGTTTGAAATTCAGAACGCCTTTTGGTTGTATGTTAGATCTATTCCTAAATCGATATCTGAGTTATCCAAAAGCTTGTAATTAGCAACAGAAGCAAACACACGAAAGCCGAAAACTGTGGTCGGCAACAGAGGTCAAAATCTGGGACTGAAACCAAAATTAATACTCCCCGCTGGGGTTCCCCCAGGGGTGACTAAAAATGGAACAGAACGGCATTGCAATGATATATTAACGCCTCTTTGGGAAACATTCTATAGCACATACATAATAAAGACAAATAAGGTAATTTGTTTAGATAATGAACATAATATAAATATACATACATCATTTAAACAAATGTTGTGATAATTGCCGTTTGAAGAAGGAGATCATTTTACAGCATAAACTTATAAACTTTCTTTTCCTTTAACGTCAGAAAAAAGTGCGATTCTTTCAATTGAGTTCAACACCAATTGTACGTTTCGCGTGACGATCTTACACGGAATGTTATCACTGTCAAGCAAATCTCAACATATTGGTGCAACACAATGTACTTATTTCTAGCTTGTAGTTTTTGTAAATATTCGTATATCCCAAGTAATTATCAATAATGACTTATCACATAAACAGGGATACGTGTAGGCAGTAAGATTAGAGTCGACTCCAACTACAAAATGCATTTTATGTATCTCAAGTCTGCTAAAGATAAATGTGTCTACTATTGATTTGTGTGGACAAAACCTAAGGATGCTTACAATCTATTGTCTGCAACTGTGACCTGCAGGAAGAAGACGAATTATTATGTTCTTAGTGCTAAGGTCAACTATCTGTTGCAATCTTGAATAACGGAACTCTTACTTGCATTGATTGTTTTATCCATGATGATACAAAGTGGCACAATGTATAACAGTTTTCATTGCTAACCATAACAGCGAATAACACGCTCCAATATCTATTTACAAACAACACGGTCGAACAGTGTATTATTGAGATGCATGTAAACATTGATTCAACTGAATTTACGAGTGGCAGACGAACGTACTTGCTACAAATATACGACAATAAATCGTACAAAACACTATTTCCGAGACTAATGTAAAAGTTGGAACTCACTTATTATATATCGTGTTACTTGTAAGGTAGTATCTATTGTGTTAGACACATTCCTTTATATCAGAGCTTTCGTTATTGTAAGTATACATACCTTTTAAAACAAGTTTGCAATTTTCCCTGGCCGACTGTTTTACTTCCAGCATGAATACAGCGTTGATGAACATGCGTATATTTTCAATGGTGAAGTTCATGTGAGGGTGAATGACATCAAATAAAGCGCTGACCATAATACCAGGTTTAATACGACTGTGTACGAACCGTTGTATCATAGTACCACATTGAATGATATGAAGGTTTTGGTCAAACACAATGTGATAAGGCAGGGCGGTACAGAACTGATCTTGACTTATTTGTAACAAATTAGAAGTGCAAGGATTGAATCGGTTAACGTCCATTCTCGTCACGACAGAGGTACGTTTGCTGGCGGCCAAAGTCACTTTAAATACAACATGTTCCTGTAGTTTCCCACCTGCTATTTTTTCTGTGGACTTTTTAAACATTTCTATGTCTGCATGTTGCTGATACAGATCCCTTGCTACAGCACGAACCAAACCTGTGTAAAGAAAGGATGTTATAGAAACTGTATATATATGTGTAAATGTTCATTTGACATTGTGTCGGTGAATAATATAGCAAACAACAGAAGTTCTAACATGGCAATTCCCTATCGCCTTCGCCTATTCAGGATCCACAGAGAAATTCAACATAGTAAGCCAGGAAAACTAGAGAAACATATTAATGCCGAAATATTGGTTATTTAGAGAAAGGGATCACGGTATCGATGACAAACCCTGCTGTAATGTATTCATACAATGTTATTAACGGAGCACTGGTTACAATGACAATACCTTCTGTAATGTATTCATACAATGTTACTAAAGGAGCACTGGTATC